TCTGTTTGTCCTGTCGCTCTTGTCTTTTGTTCTTTGACACTTTTGACTGCCTCTGCATATGTGGTGTTTTTACTTATTTTCACCTGTTGGATTTCTTTTGCTGTTTTCCTCACTTCACACTCTCCATATGTAACTCTATGTTGTCCTCCACAGTTACAACACTTCTCCTTTTCTTCTTTACATTCTTCTATTCTGTGATCTTCTCCACACTTTGGACACCTCTGTTTACCTTTGCACGCTGCTGCAATGTGTCCATATCTCTGGCACTTGTAGCAGCGGAGTGGTGGTGGGATGTAAGGCCTAACTTGAAAATTTAAATAACCTATTTTTATGTTTGCTGGTAAGGTTGTCTCATCAAACTCAATCATAATTGATAAACTTCCTACTCTTTCCCCATTAACAGTTCTTGACAGTCTCTTCAGGTTGTTTACTTGTGCACCAACAATGTTCCTTTTTATTTTATCTAAACCTTCATCCACTGGGATACCGTAAATAACTCCACGAACCGTTTTGTTTTCTCCTATTATCCTTCTTTCCATGACCATTCTTTTACAGATGTTCTCGACGTGCAAAGCCTTATTTTTTTGTTCTTCAGTTTTACATGATATTAATAAATTTCCATCTCTTAACACCTTCCCCATTTCTACATCCCCAATCTTCCTTTTTATTTCTTTTTATATCAAAATGGGGCTTATGTTACCCTGCCCTTCTTCATTTTTTAGTTTTAATATTATTTTAAATTCATCCCTCACTACTTTTCTTCTTACTACCCTTTCTTCATCAGAGCTGCTCCCTTCCAACTCCCTTTTATTACTCTGGCTGTCATTTGTCCCTTCCTCCATTTTATTTCTTCCTCGTCCTCTCCCTCTACCTACCGGTGTCCACCCCTCAAAATCCATGTCTGCCTCGTCTCCTACCTGTTTTTCCATCCGAACCATTCACATACCAGTTTATGCCAATTTCCGCCTGTTCCAAAGTCCAAAAAATGTCAAATACCGATAATCCGTCAAAAATTGTTTTAAATTCCGCGCCCAACAGCTTCCTCCTTCCGTCCTGACAACCGTCTTCCCTTCTTCTTCTTCTGGCTCTCCCCCAGCGATGAGTCACACTGGGCTGCAGCCTTTTGTAGATGGAGAGGCTCATCAGGCTGATGGCCGCCAGGTGTTGGTAATCAGCGGCCATCAGCAAGGCAGGCTGCAGGCAGTGGGACCCTTACATTTATGTTTGTGAATGTTCCTGTAAAGTGCCCTGAGACAACTTTGGTGTGATTTGGCGCTATATAAATAAACTGAATTGAAATTGAATTGAATTGTGAGTACGGATGAACACAGCAGTATGTAATAAATCAGCAGCATGAGATGAGCACCCAATCTATTGTTGGAAGTTATTCTAGAATCTTTGAGACTTGTGGAAGAGAAACAGGTCGATATTATTTAAAGTGGTGCTTATCTCCAGCTTTGAACAGAATAACAATTTATTTTCATACTGTTGGGAAACTGACCAGTTAGTAATAAGTTAAAATTGCGTTAGTGGTTAAGAAATCTCATCAGTTAAGTTGTTTTTACTGTTATCATATTAATATAATTATAATCAGTGTAAATATTGTTTTTACAGGTATTAATATCTGTAATGTTTTTCTTTTCAGGATGGATTAACAAACATGATATTTACATTTCTTTCTATTACATCAGTCAATGTTGCTGGAGCTTGTGCTTCTTCTGCTACAAGTCTTCTTCTTCTTCTTCTTCCAGCTGTTCCCTCTTCAGGGGTCTCCACAGTGAGTCATCCTCCTCCATCTCTGTCCTCTGTATCCTCTGTCCTCACTCCAACTACCCCCATGTCCTCTCTAACTGCATCCAGATATCTCCTCTTTGTATTTTTCCTGGCAGCTGCATTTCTAACATCCTTCTACCAATATACCCACTGTCCCTCCTCTGGACATGTCCAAACCACTGTCCCTCCTCTGGACGTGTCCAAATCCCTGTCCCTCCTCTGGACGTGTCCAAATCACTGTCCCTCCTCTGGACATGTCCAAACCACTGTCCCTCCTCTGGACATGTCCAAACCATCTCAGTCTGGTCTCTCTAACTTTATCTCCCAGTTGTTCAACCTGTGCTGTACCTCTGATGATCTCATTCCTAATCTTATCCATCCTTGTCAATCCTGAGGAGAACCTCAACATCTTCATTTCTGCCACTTCCAGTTCTGTCTCCTATCTTTTTGTCCATGTCTCTGTCTCCAGACCATACAACATAGCTGGTCTCACCACTGTCTTGTAAACTTTTCCTTTGACCTTTGCTGACACCTTTTTGTTACAAATCACTCCTGAAACTTTTCTCCATCCACTCCATCCTGCCTGGACTCTCTTCTTCACCTCTTTACCACACTCCTCATTTTCCTGGACAGTGTACCCCAGTACTTGAAGTCCTGCACCTTTGTGACCTCTGCTCCTTGTAGCCTCACTCAGTGCTGAATTCGTTCCTGACGGAACAAGATCCGGGAAGTCTTTTATTTTGACAGGTTGTGTTCCAGTAACTGTTTGTTTGGATCTGGTAACTCTCAGGCTTACTAATAATAAAGTTATGAACAAATATGACTGCCTTGGTCCAATTAAACTTATATTGGATATGTAAACTGAAAATAATCGCATAAACACTTGTTTTAAACACAACAGCCACTACGAGCTTCTTAATATTCATTCAATCTTTATTTAGACAGATTAATCCCATTGAGCCTCGGGGACTCATTAACAAGAGAGACCTGATTCTACCTGAATATCACACATGAGCTGCTTCTTCAAGTAGCATTTCTGCCTCTACCCTTAAAAAATCTCCTAAACGAGTGGTGGGGCGAGTGTCGAGCTAACTGGGCAGTCGTACACGAGCAGAAGGAGCTCACAGGCAGCTGCCATGAACAGACGAAGGAGGCGCCTGGAAGTTTCACATCTGGAATTGGACAACAACGAGCAGGGACAGTGTCGGGCTCAGAACCATCAAGTGTGTGTGTGTGGGGGGGGGGGGGGTATGATGCTTGACAGCTGTTTACAAATGTAGGTAAACATTTAACAACTCGTTAAAATACATTAAAGAAAATCACATTTACTTTATTAAAAATTTTCTCGAGGAGGACCCCTGACAGCACAGGTTGAACAACTGGGAGATAAAGTTAGAGACCAGACTGAGATGGTTTGGACATGTCCAGAGGAGGGACAGTGGGTATATTGGTAGAAGGATGTTAGGAATGCAGCTGCCAGGAAAAAGACGAGGAGATATCTGGATGCAGTTAGAGAGGACACGGAGGTAGTTGGAGTGAGGACAGAGGATGCAGAGGACAGAGATGGAGGAGGATGACTCACTGTGGAGATCCCTGAAGAGGGAACAGCTGAAAGAAGATTGATGTTTTTTTTATTCTGAGTGGCCTAACATGTTTATTCTACAAATAAATTTACTAAAGATAATTATGTTTACTGGGGCAGCACGGTGGCGCAACTGGCAGAGCTGCTGCCTCTCAGCGAGCAGGTCCCTGGTTCAAATCCCGGTCCGGGGCTTTTCTAGGTGGAGTTTGCATGTTCTCTCCGTGCATGCGTGGGTTTTCTCCTGGGTACTCCAGTTTCCTCCCACAGACCAAAAACATGCATGTTAGACTGATTGGTAACTCTAAATTGTCCCTAGGTGTGAGTGAGAGACTGAATGTTTGTTTGTCTCTGTGTCCCTGTGATGGACTTGCAACCCGTCCAGGGTGTCCCCTGCCTCCCACACAGCAATTGCTGGACATGGGCCCCAGCGACCCCCGTGATCCAAAATGGAAGAAGCGGGTAAAAGATAATGGATGGATAATTATGTTTATTATCAATGTAAGATAAAACTTTATCAGTCAGAATGTTTCTATTAAAAACATCTGTCAGATGCTGTGAGTTTTCCTATTTTTGATAAAGAGCATAGTCACTGTTGTGTGGAGAGGGTCCAACACCTGTGCGCGTGTCTCCTTTAAATGTTTTGGCATACTGAACCAACTCCAACTCCCATCATTCCGTAGTGCAGCACCGCAACAATGGAGAACGAGGCGGCAGCAGAGAGGCTGGGCGACAGACTGTGAGAGGAGGACCGAGCTTTCCATGGAGCTGTAGTCCGGCGCAGTGCTGCTGAAGTGACCGAAGACTCCTGAACATGGCGAAACACCAGGAGGTGGAGCGCCTCGCCAAGAAGCTGGACAAAATGGTGCACAAGAAAAACACGGTGAGCACATTGCAGTGGTGGCACGCGCCGTCAGGTGATGGCTTCATCACACGCAGCGGTGGAAAAATCTGGAAGCACGTTCAGTGCGTGTTGTCTGCAGGAGAGGAGTTTGCCAACAGAGAACCTCTGCAGCCTGATTGCTCAGAAAGTTTGTATTTAACGAACACACTATAATGAGTTTTCTTCATAACTCTCCGTAATTATAAATATACTCTGTTTGTTTGTTTGTCTGTTAGCAAAATATCTCATGAACCACCGGTATAGGATTTTAATGAAGCGTTGAGAAAATAAATGCTGGATGTACATTTACAACTGATTGGAATGATTTCATATGGACTCATATGAACAAAAAGTAAATACATATTATACAACAGTCAGTTTTACATTTTTAACTCGGATGTGTCATGGTAGCAGCTGAGACAACACATGCTTGACAATAATATTGACTAGAGTTAAATTTGTCTTTTAGCAAAATATCAGGGGAAAAACGACAGATTTTAATGTAACTTTCAGGAGGTAATTATTGGATGTACACTGCCTATAAAGAGCATTTGCCCCTTTTTGTCTTTAGTTTATTTTTTTGGTATAAATCAATCCTGGACCATTTTGATTTTAGATTTTATTTATTCATCTTTCGGCTGCTCACTTCTTCATGTGGTCGCCCCAGCAAACTAACTCGCACAAACATTAGGTGCTGGTCATAGAATAGAAGATAGAATATCATGAAAAAGTAGATTTATTTCAGTAATTCCTTTCACAAAGTGAAACTTGTATATTATATTCATTCATTGCAGACTGATATATTTCAAATGTTTATTTTGTTTAATATTGATGATTATAACTGACAAGTAATGAAAACCCCAAAATCAGTATCTCAAAAAATTAAACATTACTTAAAACCAATTAAAAAAAGGGATTTTTAGAAATGTTGGCCAAATTTAAAGTGTGAACATGAAAAGTATGAGCATGTACAGCACTCAATACTTAGTTGTTGCTCCTTTTACCTGGAATACTGCAGCATTGTGGCGTGTCATGGAGTGGATCAGTCTGTGGCACTGCTCAGGTGTCATGAGAGCCCAGGTTAATCTGAAAGTGACCTTCAGCTCTTCTGAATTGTTGGATCTGGTGTATCACATCTTCCTCTTCACTATACTTCAAAGATTTTCTATGGGGTTAAGGTCAGGCGAGTTTTCTGGCCAACTAGGTACTGGTAAGGATGTGCGATAGGGGTGCACCGATAAATCGGCCGGCCGATTTATCAGCCTCGATTTCCTTCATTTTGGGAAATCGGAAATCGTCTGATACTTGAATGAGAAACCGATTTTACCAGTTTTTTTTTTTAGTTTTAACAACAACTGTCTAAACTTCATTTATGTTTCAGAGCACAACCTCATGGCCAGGCAAAACAAGTTTATATTGTTTCTAGGATATTGTTCAAGGGTATTTTTTCAATAAAAAAATATTGGAAAATTGAAGGTGTATTGTGACCTTATACCACCTGACAGTGCCTCTTATAATACAAAATTGGTATTGGCCAAAATCGGAATCGGCGTGTCAGACTTTTTAGAAATCGGTGATCGGCCAGAAATCTGCAATCAATGCACCTCTAATGTGCGATATAGCATAAAATTCATATCGCGATATGTATTGTGAAGGGTGGCGATAACGATATAGATCACAATATGTTTTTGGTATAAAACATGCAATAGGAATGAAAAAAAACATAGGGTGTTCTTTTGCCATAATTTATTTTGAAAACTGCTATACCACAAAATCACAAGAAAATTCCACTACTAGGTCCAGAGAGTTTTAAAATAATAAACAAGTCAAGTATTGGGCTTCTTTCTTGTAGAGCAAAACAGTGCAAAATATATCAAATTGTAGTTTTATCCATATGTTTTAAACAAAACAATATGTTGTTAACTCTTAACAGTTTCCATTATTCTCACTTAATAAATGAACAGCAACAGAGCAGCATTTTACACTGAAAACACTTCACCCTCCAACCCTCTAGTGGGCGACTCCCTCCGCTTTAAGGAGAGCTGACACAAAATGGCAACTGGTTTCCTCTGCGGCTTTGACCAGAGGGTCTCGCAGTAAAATCACACAACGCAGCGTTCTTTTCACAGATCAGAGAGCAGGTTTCTCTCAAGCTGACCAACACTTACTTTAACTTTAGACGGAAAAAAAAACAACTTTCAATGGAACACAGCGTTTTGCGCATGCGTCCGAATACGGCAACACTGCGGCAAGCCGGCCGCAGTTAGCTTGTAGCTTTGCTACTTGGCTCTCGAAGAAAAGACTTTAACATCACTTATGCACAGTTTTCCACTCAAAACAAGTAACAATTAAATCTGACAACTCTGATTTTACATCGGACGCAGCATTACTGCGGTTAGCCGGTAGAAGACAGCTCTCTATCATGGGCTAAAAGTCTATAGTTTCTACCATGTACCGCATATATCGCGCATTCCTGGGTACTGGTAGCTTTGGCACTGTGTGCAGGTGCCAAGTTCTGTTGGAAAATGAAGCTGCATCTCCATAAAGTTGGTCAGCAGCAGGAAACATGGAGTGATCTAAAACTTCCTGGTAGATGGCTGCGTTGACCTTGGACCTCAGAAAACACAGTGGACCAACACCAGCAGAGGATATGGACCCCAAACCATCACTGACTGAAAACTTGACACTGGACCTCAAGCAATGTGAATTATGTGCCTCTCCTCTCTTTCTCCAGACTCTGGGAACTTGATTTCCAAAAGAAATGCAAAATTTACTTTCATCAGAGAACATAACTTTGGACCACTCAGCAGCAGACCCAGACGAGATGCTTCTGACGCTGTCTCTTGTTCAAGAGTGACTTGACACAAGGAATATGATAGCTAAAACCCATGTCTTGCATATGTCTGTGCATGGTGGTTCTTGAAGCACTGACTCCAGCTGCAGTACACGCTGTGAATCTCCCCCACATTTTGGAATGGGTTTTGTTTCACAATTCTCTCCAGGGTGCCTCCGCTGTGTGTCCCATTGGTGTATGAATGTGATCTAAAACTCTGATTAGTCTCTTTAGAATGATTTGTTCAATTAGCTTTGTAGAAATCTAGTAGAGTGCTGTATGAATGGGTAAATGAGGACACAGATTGTAGGTAAAGCGTTTTGAGTATCTTGAAATAAGATAGAAAGGCGCTCTATAAGTACAGTCCATTTACCATTCGGATTATGAATCGGCATAAACCACCCCACTCATTCAGATTACAGATTAATTTGGATCGAGCTGAATCAACAAAAAATAATCCAAATAGGGAGTTGACATGACGTATTTTTATTCCGAATGGCCATTTAATCCGATTACTTATGCCCATATAAACTGTCTGCCCCCGCCCCCCCCAAAAAAATAAGTCGCCATCAATAAAACAGGTCACACACTAATATTTTGTTGGACCACCTTTAGCTTTGATTAAGGCATGCAATCACTGTGGCATTGTTTCGATAAGCTTCTCCAATGTCACAAGATCTATTTCCATCCAGTGTTGCATTAATTTTTCTCTGAATCTCTTTGAATGTGAATCTCTGACAACACGACTTTAGACTGTACCTGTTAAAAATCTACTCAAAACTATGCATTTTCCAGCCATTTGAAGAACATTTTACATTTTCACATTTACTCATACAGCTGTACACACACAAGTTTTAGGATAAATAAAACTTCAAATCAGTGTATTCTGAAGGTAGAACACTGACAGCTGGCCTTTAAGCTGAACTGTATCAGATCATACTTGAAAGCTGCATTACAGAAGTCCCTCGCCATTTCATTCGTTCATTTTTTGTGGACTCACACTATCGCGTTTTTTCAAAATTACACTCGACATGACACACAGTTGGCTGATTGATATATGAGCCGCACGATTGGCATGGGATTTTTATTTAAAATTAATTATTTTAAATTATTTTGCACCTGCTGCACCTCTGTTAGACATCTGTGCAGCCCACACTGCTGGATAAGCTTCCTCCTGTAGCTTCAACTGTTCTCCATGCAGAGCTTAGAAGTGGGCGTGGCCGAGCCGCTTGCAGGTGGCTGAGTGCGGCCAGAGGCACAGAGCTGAAATCATGACATTCTGTGCTCCTTTAGAGCATTTACATAATCTAAGTTTAAATTAAAAAAATCCGGAAATCACAATGTATGATTTTTTTAAATATTTTATTTGTGTGTTACTGCTGCAAATAAGTATTTGAACACCTGCCAATCAGCAACAATTCAGTCCCTCAAAGACTTGTTAGTCCTCCTCTAAAAAGTCCACCTCCACTCCACTTATTATTCTAAATTAGAAGCACCTGTTTGAGGTGGTTAGCTGCATAAAGACACCGGTCCACCCCACACAATCAGTAAGACTCCAACTACTAACATGGCTAAGACCAAAGAACTGTCCAAAGATGCCAGAGACAAAATTGTGGACCTCCACAAGGCTGGAAAGAGCTACGGGGCAATTGCCAAGCAGCTTGGTGAAAAAAGATCAACTGTTGGAGCAATTATTAAAAAAATGGAAGAATCTCCCTTGGACTGGGGCTCCATGCAAGATCTCAAGTGTTGATGTCCTTACCAAGAAAAAACTAAAGAGATTGAGTAACTTAATTTTATTACAAAATAAAGTACAACTACTTCCTAATAACAAAGTTGTGAAGTCCTCATACAGTGTACACACTCACAGCACAAAGTATGACAATAGTTTTAAACTGGTATGAACAATGGCTGGTGACATGCTTTCCTTTAAAGAATGCTAGGCTTTAATAGACATTTTCCTCAACTTTCTCCAATGGAAAGAGAGACACAAACACAAACAAACAAACAACAACAAGCAAGCATCCATTGGCAACTTAGAGTATTAATAAGGCCTCTATCTTATCTCATGCTATTTTAAGATTTTAAGCACAGTAGCAAGAGTAACCATTTTTTTTAACATGTTAAATTTATTGTCTCATTCAGATTTGACCAATCCAATTTTACCATTATCAGGTGAGAAAATACTGTCCATCTCCATTTGTTTCCAGGATGGTGCTCTTGACTTACTGAGGGAACTGAAGAACATCAAGATGTCTCTGGAGACCCTGCAGGTATGCACCTCCTTATTTGTCTGTGTGGCACTGTCTTAACTACAGAAGAAAGTTTGAGACTGTAGTAAAATATTGGGAGTGTAGTCACGCACATCTGCAGCCCCTTTTTTTCATATATATATATTTTTACAATCCACAAACTAAATTCAAAGTGTTTACATCCTGTCAAAACACAATAAAATGTAGAGAAATGGCATTCCCTGCAAAAACTGCAGTATTGCTGAATGGTTTTTGCTCAGTGCCGCTGAAGAAATTGTAACCAGGCTGAAAGGGTTTAATGACTAAACTGTTAATGCAAGTCAAATTTGAACACATGACATTTGCTGAAGACAGAAAATAAAAGCCTGAGAAAAGCAGCAGTAGAAAACGTTGGTTATGTACTGTAACCCCAGATTCTATGAGTATAGGCGCAACCCTTTAAGGCTATCGCTAGTGGATTTATCCCTTCGCGCACAGCACAGCATTAAAAACTTTAGTCCATGCCCACCTGCTGTGTGGGCCTCACCCCCGGTCCGTATAAATTACGGCGAGACTGGGTAATCGGCTCCCAAATAACTTTTTTTCTTCAGCCATTTAGGAACCAGTGAGGCCCAGAGCTTAAAGGGCTGCGCCTATACTCATAGAATCTGGGGTTACAGTACGTAAACAACGTTCTATTTTGTATAGGCTTCGCCCTTTAAGGCTATCGCTAGTGGGTTAAAGGCGAAGCAGGATGTAGTCTATGCCTCACTGGGTTCATTCAGAAGCAACATGAAGCACCTGCTTGCACAAAAAAGTATTTCATCACTCAGCCTTCTGTGTGCGTAATTACGCGTTGCGTAATTGCGTGTTCCATGCGCAGGAGCGCACCGGAGAAGATCTCTGGTGAGGAAAAAGGCTGAGATAGCAGACCTGCTGCTGTGAATAGGAACAACGGAGGATATGAATTGTAACAGTGTAATGATAAACAGAGCAGACCAACAGCTCTTCAGGATGAACAGATTAATAACAATAAAATCAGCAGTCATGAACTTGTGACTGATAATAAATATCTCACACTGCGACTGCATGCAGGCAGGTGTACGCTCAAAAGTGAGGCTTCATGAAGCAAATAATAATCATTCTGTCAGAACCCTGAGGACAGAATGGGTCGTGGAGAAAGTAGAAACATCATGTAGATAAAAACGACTAATTGAACATGGCGATGACCAGGCAGCCGCCATACAAATATCCTCCACTGTCATCCCTTCATGCAGAGCCGTGGAGGATGAAAACCCTCTAGTGGAATGCGCTGAGATTCTCTGGAGGATCCAGTCCAGATGAACTGTAAATTTCAGAAATAGCCGCACACAACCAGTGTGAGAGGCGCTGGGTGGATAGAGGACGTCCTGAAGAACTGTCCCAGTAATGCACGAACATACGCTGAAAGCGGCGCAGTGTGGACGTGTGCGCCACTTAACATGAAAATGCGTGCATGGGACAGAAGGAAGTGAGATGTTGCTTCCTCCTCAGAATTATGAGGAAGAGGATAAAACCCATCCAAGGTTATCACTTTCAATCTAAATGAGCTTGTGATGCTTTTCAAAGCAGGGTTAAAACGCAACACAGCTGAACTGCCGTCAGCTTGAATTCTGAGACATGAGGGAGCAACAGAGAGAGCAGACAATCACTCACTCTCTTTGCCAACGTCAGAGCTAACAGCAGGGCTGTTTTTAAATGACAGAAATTTATGTAAAACCTGATCTAAAGGCTCAGAAGGAGCTTTGATCAGAGTGTGCAGGACCATCATTAGGTCTCACTGTGGAACTAGTAGGAGTGACACCGGTCTGTGTCTCCGCACACCTTTCAGGAAACGCTTCATCAACGGTTGATTAAAAACTTTTCTGTCACCGAAGCCCTCTTGACAGGAAGAAATAGCTGCAGCATAAGTCTTAATTGTGCTGAACGCTAGATCTCTGTCCATCAGCTGCTGCAGAAAGGACAGCATGCCACCTAGTGGACATGAGATGGCCTCCACACCTTTCTCCGTGTACCAGTGCTGAAAAGCTGTCCACTTTGATATAAGCGCGTAAAGGAGCAGTTTTTGGCTACGGGCTGTGAGCGAAGGCGTCAACTCCTAACAGTGGGTCGTCTCGTGTGCTCAGTGAGAACCATAATTGACACTGGGTGTTCTCCCTTGTGGCGGACAGATCCACTGCTGCTCAGCCAAACCTTCTCCAAATCCGAGAAATCAGCTCGGGATGGAGGCTTCAGTCTCTGTGGTGAGGATTGCCCCTTGACATGATATCCGCTCCCCTGTTCAGGATGCTGGGAATTTACACTGCTCTGATGGAGAGCAGGTTTTTGTGTGCCCAACACAACAGCTGTTGCGCGATGCATAACATTTAGGCTGAGCACATGCCTCCCTAATAGTTTATGTAAGCTGCCGTCACTTTGTGTGGATCAGAACATGCTGATCTCGCAGCAGGGGGGCAAAATGCTGAGTCACGTTTCAGACCATGAAAACATTCTAGCACATTTATGTGAAGTGACATGTGGTCCAGCCACTGTCCTCCCACTGCCTGGGACAGATCCATTCCTCCCAGCTTGACAGGAATGCGTCTGTGAAAACTGAGATGTAGGCCTGCTGATGGGAACTCCCTCTGACAGAATGAGGGGGTTTCCGCAGTGATTCAGATCGGTTCTCACGGAGGGGGGCACAAAGATAATCCGCCTCTACTGGCGCACAGGTTCTATGCGCAGGCGGGCGAACCATCTCTGAAGGTGTCTCGTGAAGTAGGCCCAGCGGAACCACGATGTGGGCTGCTGACATCGTCCCAGGCGTCGCATGACGGGCAAACTGTCACTATGCTGCAGGGTTTGACACGGCGGAACTGAGCTGATAGAGCTTCAGCTCTCAGCTGTGATAAACGTGCTCTCATTGTAGTTGAGTTAGCTCCACATCCAGATAAACAATCATCTGGGTCGGACGAACTGAACTTTTTCCCAGTTTATAGAAGCCCCAGGTTTAGTAGGTGTAACACTAGCGTTTTGGTCTGTGCAACTGCTTTCTAACTGAACCGAGCTAATAAGAGCAGATCGTCCAGATAAAAAGAATTCTCATTCCTGCCATGTGTAGCGACTGCAGAGCCATCTCCACGCATTTCAAGAACGTGCGTGGGGTGTTTCAGAATGATGGAAAATGTGAAAATATGCGCTCTTCAGATTTATGGAGGTGAAAACCAGTAGTTCTGGTGAAGTTCTCCAGCAGCTGTTTGTCAGCATGTGGAATTGTCTCCCCATGATCGAATTGCTGAACATGAACTGGTCGAGAATGGGTCTCATTCCTCCATTTTTTTAATCAGAACCAGGAAGTAGTGGGAGGAAAAAAAAAAAGTATTTTCCTCTCCGTTAGGAACTCTGGAAATGACGTTTTTCATCAGAAATTCCTGCACTTCTGACTGGAGAGACGAGCTTTGTTCTGGTGAAGACGGAACCATCTCTATAATCCCTCTGAACGGTGGGGGTTGAGCTGCGAACTGCAGCATGTAACACCTGCTGATCAGACGGTCCGTCCATCTGTCCAGGGAACACACTTTCTGCCACTCTGAGTAACTCTCGAAGAGTGGGCACGCATTTTTGTTGTCATGTTTCCCAAAAACGTCAACTACACAAAAAAGCCTTACTGCCATCACCAGCTCCAGAGATTCTCTGGGGGGTACTCAAGGGGGGTTCCGGCAGAAAAAAGGCTGTATGTGTGCCTCTGTGCTGAGCCCAGGCTGCGGTCTCATGTTAGAGCTGAGGTTAACAGATGTGCACGGAGAGGAGGCGTGAGCGCTTTCTGAGTGATACGTTGTTTCGGTGGAGGCTGCAGCTGTCGTGGAGAAACACGTTTACTCCCGCTGCACTGTGAGTGGGCAGAAAACAGCAGAAATTAAAAACGGCTTCTGGCTGGAAACAAGGAATTTTACCGGACTCGGTCTGCTGAAAAAATATAATTTTAGCTGACATGTCAAACAAGTGTTTTGTGATATTTACTGAACTGCGGTGCCATTTAAAACGCTGTTTAGCAGTTACTGGCTTGTTCTGTGTGGGGAATGTGGGAAGAGAGGCAGCTGTGAGATCAGCTGATCTGACAGTCTCGGATGAAAACTTTACTTTCAGAGAACAAAGTCCAGGCTCAATAATCCAGGTATACAATCCAACATTTTTTAGTCAGGTCATCTGGACAGTTTCTTTTTTTTTTTTTGTGCTGAAACATTTCGCCTTCGGTCCAGAAGGCTTCATCAGTCAAGGAAACACACAACAAAACTGATTCTTCCCCCAACAGCTTACTCCAAAGTGGAACAAACCAGTTCTGCTTGTGATAATATGGTCTCTGGACCTGACTGAAAAATGTTGGATTGTATACCTGGATTATTGAGCATGGACTTTGTTGTTTTCAACCAGTTTGACAAGACTGTCAACAATGAAGAGGGCTGGCATTGGAGGAGGGGGCATACTAAAGCGACCATCTTATCACAAGCAGAAATGGTTTGTTCCAATTTGGAGTAAGCTGTTGGGGGAAGAATCATTTTTGTTGTGTTTCCTTGACTGATGAAGCCTTCCGGACCGAAGGCAAAACATTTAAGCACAAAAAAAAAAAAAGAAACTGTCCAGATGACCTGACTGTAAAATGTTGGATTTTCTTTCAGAGGTTTTTCTGTTTTATATCAAAACATGCATCATCAAAAAAAAAAAAACACATACATTCCTCTCAAGGATCTGTTACCTGGTGGAGGGGGCCGGCGGAGAAGCAGAGCATAAAGTCGCTGCCGCAGCTGTGAAGCACCTCTGCTGCTGTTGCTTGCCAAGGCGGTCCCTCCAGTGGCCGGAGGGGCGGGAGGAGGACTGTGATGTCACCAGATGGTGTACAGTCTCTGAGACCTTCTCAGACCTCTGCAATTTCTCAAGGATGGCCCTGAAGTTGGCCCCGAACAGTGCCTCTGTGGTGATGAGGCCCTCCAGCAGGTCTTTCTACAGCCTCTCGGACAAGGATGGCAAGAGATGGAGCCAGGTGGTCCTCTGGATCATGGTTATCCGGGCGGCGATGCGGGACAGGCAGACTGCAAAGGTGACGCACGTTTAAGTTTATGTCAGTGGCTTTACAGAGAGAGCTCTTTGTCTCCTCCAGCAGGTCTGCTTCCTCCAGCCTCTTTGAGATGCTGTAGGCCAGCAGAGCGATGTTGTTGTTCGCCGCGACCGCCTGGGATGTGCACTGGTGAGCTCGGTTGGAGAGCTTTGTCAACCTCTGGTCATGCTTTCCTGGAGAGATAGGTTGCCGGTCCATCCTGGAAGCTTTTGCCCCAAGCACCTCCACCAGGCTTGGCTCCAAGAGGAGAGAACCGAGGGGAAAAAAAACGCAGATCGGTAAAAACCCTCCACTCTGGAGATGGAGGCAAAGGTAGAGACTGATGTCTTCAGCTTGCCCGGGCCCAGCTGCAGCCTCGTTCCAATGTGACGTCACAGCTATACAGCCGAAGCCAGATGGGATCAGGGTGATGAGCCGGGGCGGAGCCAAACCTTCCCGCCAGATCATCCAATCAGGGCGGAGGGAGGCGAGGAACGAAAAGTTCCTTTGTGTTGGCAGCCTCCTGGATTATGCCAGGCAGCTTCGAGAGGAGGGCGCCGACGGCTGGAAGCGGTGTGGTCGCCGACATGGGAAGACCCGAGGTGGTTGAGCATCCGTTCGACTGCTCTTCTTCCGTCACTACGCTCTCCAATAGGGAAAGGGTAGCGAGGTTGTTTCTAGCATCGCCTTTCTTGGAGGAGTCATCCGATTCACTGCGTGACTCTGCGTCAAAGAAAGGCGGTGGCGTCGTCCCACGCTTAGCGTTCCGCCACAGAAAAAACACTCAGCGGGGCTGCTGCCCGCATCGCCTTTTTGAGGGAATCTTCCGATTCATTGCGAGGAAAAAACGTTAAAAAAAGCGATGGTGTCATTCAGCGAGTTGCGGCCCTCCACAGAGAAAACACTCAGCGGAGCTGCTGCTAACATCACCTTTTTCGAGGGAATCATCCGGTTCACCGCGAGGAAAAAATGTTAGAAAAGGCAACGGCGTCGTCCAGCGGGTAGCGGCCCGCCATGGAAAAGCACTCTTCGGCGCTTACCTTGAACAAGACTGCTCGTCTCTTCTTCTCCTCGGGGAGGAAGAGCTCACCGGGACGGCAGGAGGTTGGCGTGGCGGAGACCCAAGCATCCTTAGCAAAAGTTGTCGGTCAAAGCTGGACAACTTTTCCTTCTTCATTCTTCTGACAGTGCTAGCTAGCTGGCTGAAGGAAAAAATGGGAGCTGATTACCCGGTCTCACCGTAATTTATATGGACCGGGGGTAAGGCCCACACAGCAGGTGGGTGTGAACCAAAGTTTTCAGTGTTGTGCTGCGCGCTAAGGTATAAACCCACTAGCGATAGCCTTAAAGGGTTAAGCCTATACGAAATAGAACAGCAGAAATATGTAGAAACATGTGAATGGAGCATAAAAAAGCAGAATAAGCTGAAACAGGAAGAGAGACTGAATCGATTATTTATAAAAACCCTGAAAATAGCCAGCCATTTGGAAGTTTTTTCTTACCCCCCCCCCCAAAAAAAAAGTCTTTATCAGCTCCTCTCTGAACGCCAGCTTCCATCAGTTATTCTTCTCTGATTTTACTCTTTTTCTCTTCTTCACAACAACAGTCATTCTAGACACACCCACCTGATGCTGTCTGCCCACACTCTCCCTTGCCACAACCTTACAGTCTCCAATCTCCCTCAGGTTTCCTCTTCTACACAGAATGTAGTCGACCTGCATACTCCTTCCTCCACTCTTATAGGTCACTCTATGTTCCTCCCTCTTTTGGAAACGGGTGTTAACTACAGCCATTTCCATTCTCTTGGCAAAGTCCACCACCATCTGTCCTTCTTGGTTTCTTTCCTTGACACCAAACCTATCCATCACTTCCTCATCTCCTCTGTTTCCTTCACAAACATGTCCATTCAGGTCTGCTCCGATCACCACTCTCTCCTCTCTGGGAATACTCTCTATCACTTCATCCAGATCTTTCCAAAATGGATCTTTCTCCTCCACATCACATCCAACCTGTGGAGCACAACCCCTGACACTGTTTGCATCAGAGCTTCTACTTCTACCTTCAGGCACATCACCCTCATCTTCATCTCTATTACATTCTTTGCCAGCTCCTCCTTCAGGACCACCCCTGCTCCATTTCTCTTTCTATCTACATCATGGTAAAACAGTTTGAACCCTGCTCCAATTCTGCGAGCCTTGCTGCCCTTCCACTTGGTCTCTTGAACACATAAAATATCTAGCTTCCTTCTCTGCATCATGTCAGCCAGCTTTCTACCTTTGTCTGTCATTGTCCCCACATTTAGAGTTGCAACCCTCAGTCCTACATTCTTGACTTTCCTCTTCTCCCTCCGTCTCCTAACACATTTCCCTGCTCGTGGTCTTCAACTAACAGTAGCACAATTTCTGCCAGCACCCTGTTTGTCAACAGTACCGGCGGTGGTCGTTGTTAACCCAGAACTCGACCGATCTGGTATAGTGTCGCTTTGATGAAGTCGCATTATAGTTTTGATAAGTGTTTTACGTCGGATGCTCTTCCTGACACAACCCTAACCATTTTCCCGGGCTTGGGACTGGCACAAGAGATAAACTGGCTTATGCTTTCTAGTGGCTGATTTAACAGTGCTAAATTAGCATTAGCTGTGAATGCTGAACATCATTCACACAAAGTCATACAGGAGAAACTAAGTCCAGCTCAGCTGTTTCCACAGGATTTAAGAGATTCAGTATGAGTCAGGAGCTGCTGATCCAGTGCATTGATTATATTGTCAGTGGGACCACATCTAAAGCAGCAGTTTTGCCAGTTTTCCAATCAGGAACGTTCAAGTGCCCAAAAGAGTAAAAACATCAGCAATAAACTTAGAGAAGCAACTGCTGCTGTCCATCAATCTAGGAAGGGTCAATGCTCATATTCAAGCTCTTTGGAGTCCTTCATTCTACAGAGAGAAAAGTTCTTCCCAAGTGGAAACATTTAAGACAATTGCCACTCTTTCCAGTGAAAGTCTTGGTAAACTCACCCCAAGGTGCAGTGTTGAGAGGAATGACTGAAAGTCCAAGAGCTCCATTTCTTAGTTAGCAGGTCAAAAGTCATGACAGCACAATTAAAGAAAGACTGAAGAATTATTACCTGTTTAAAGAGATGTAGATGAAAACTTATTTTCTCTAAAAACAACATGGAAGCATAATTTAGATTTGTAAAGTTTCATTCTGCTTTTATGATGGATTTTGTTGAACACTTGGCTTATTCACCACACTTTCAAACAAGTTCAAACCACATTCTGCTTATTTTCTCGTAACTAAAAACTAATCTGGACCAGTTAAAGTAAAAAGCTTGTTGGTTCAGTTGGAAATTTTAACGTTCTATATGTTGGGTTTAAGGGGCCCCAAGTGGAAAATTATGTATTTATTTTCCATTGACCTATTTGCTTTTACAATGTGTTGTTTGTGTTTATGCTTTTTGAAAATATTAACTGTAGACAACCAGAGTTGGCATGTCGGTGAACGCCGTGAGGAAACAAAGCTCTGATGAGGAGGTTCAAACTCTGGCCAAAGTTCTTATTAAGTCCTGGAAGAAATTGCTGGGTAGGTCTGTCTGTCTTTGTCTGTCTGTCTGTCTATCTTTGTCTCTCTGTCTTTGTCTGTTTCTATCTGTCTGACTTTGTCTGTCTCAGTCTGTCTGACTTTGTCTGTTTCTGTCTGTCTCTGTCTGTATGTCTGTCTCTGTCTCTGTCTGTCTATCTTTGTCTGTCTTTGTCTGTCTGTCTCTGTCTGTCTGTCTTTGTCTGTCTGTCTCTGTCTGTCTATCTTTGTCTCTCTGTCTCTGTCTGTCTATCTTTGTCTGTCTGTCTCTGTCTGTCTATCTTTTTCTGTCTCTGTCTGTCTTTGTCTGTCTGTCTTTGTCTGTCTCTGTCTGTCTTTGTCTGTCTATCTTAGTCTGTCTTTGTCTGTATGTCTGTCTCTGTCTGTCTATCTTTGTCTGTCTTTGTCTGTCTGTCTAACTTGGTCTGTCTGTCTTTGTCTGTCTCAGTCTGTCTGACTTTGTCTGTTTCTGTCTGTCTCTGTCTGTATGTCTGTCTCTGTCTCTGTCTGTCTATCTTTGTCTGTCTGTCTCTGTCTGTCTATCTTTTTCTGTCTCTGTCTGTCTTTGTCTGTTTGTCTTTGTCTGTCTCTGTCTGTCTTTGTCTGTCTTTGTCTGTCTGTCTCTGTCTGTCTTTGTCTGTCTATCTTAGTCTGTCTTTGTCTGTATGTCTGTCTCTGTCTCTGTCTGTCTATCTTTGTCTGTCTGTCTCTGTCTGTCTATCTTTTTCTGTCTCTGTCTGTCTTTGTCTGTCTGTCTGTCTTTGTCTGTCTATCTTAGTCTGTCTTTGTCTGTCTCTCTGTCTTTGTCTGTTTCTGTCTGTCTGTCGCTGCCTGTTTGTCTGTCTTTGTCTGTCTCTGTCTGTTTTTGTCTGTATTTCTTTATCTGCCTTTGTCTGTCTGTCTGTCTATGTCTCTCTGTCTGTCTTTGTCTGTCTATGTCTGTCTCTGTCTGTCCGTCTCTCGGTCTCTTTTTCTGTCTCTCCGTCTGTCTCTCCGTCTGTCTTTGTCTGTCTGCCTCTGTCTGTCTGTCTGTCTGTCTCTGTTTATCTGTCTGCTTCTGTCTGTTTTTCTATGTCTCTCTGTCTTTGTCTGTCTCTATTGGTCTGTCTCTGTCTGTCTCTCTGTCTCTTTGACTGTCTCTCTGTCTGTCTTTGTCTGTTTTTGTCTGTCTGTCTGTCTCTATCGGTCTGTCTCTCTTTGTCTGTGTCTGTCTGTCTGTGTGTGTGTGTGCACATGTGGGTAATGGACATACATACATTAATACATGAACAGTTCTGTTATAATCTTACTGACCACTGTAAATACTGTGTTAGACTTGTTCACACAGAATGGGGCAAGCTGGAGTTCATTGTCTTGCTCAGACATTTTATCACTTTAGTCTCAATCTGGCAGTTCAAACTGCCAACTCTCCAATTAGCAGATGAGCTCTCTTCTTCCTGAGCCATAACGGTTAGGGTTGTATAAATGGCATTTGTGACACGTATTTATTTTTACATCTCACTTTGGGTTTTTTTCAAGGTTTTAGCAGACAATATAAAAAGCCTCAGTTGTTTTTTTTTTTTTTTAATTTAAACCAAACGGTCTGAATCAATTTAATTTGGATCAACAATAAAATAAATGTGTAAAACCTGAGATTGACATTAAAATGGGCTTTGTGTGGTTTGCATCTTAATGAACAGATGGTTCAGAAGGGAAGTTGGAGGAGAAGAAAAAGGAAGGCTCTCCAGTGAGGTCTTTGTCAACATCTAAGGACCTTGGCAGAAATGAGACGAGGTTTGTCACTTAAGACCTGTTAACACCTTAGATTCCAGTTAATGGCACCCAGTATCCATTTCACAATAGATCTAGTCTTCCAATAACAGTTTGACATCTATTTCTGTTTAGATCGGAAACAGGGATGTTGCATAAACATTCCTGTTTTTGATATGTTTACATGGTAAACATATATGTTAAACATTCAAATGAACAATTAAAAAAGATAGTTTTGAATCTTATGGCAGTAGCACATTTTATAAATGTAAAGCGAAGGGCAACAAACAGCTGTAAAAGTAGTACAAATAAGAAACCTCTGGAGAAGCATGTTACAACTAAATTAAGTTACCCCGGTAATTCAACGATTCAAGGTTCTTTCTTGTCATTCACATCACATGTGGTACATGAGGTGGAACAAAACTATGTACACAGGGACCCAGTTACGTCCAACACAAATACAAATTGTAAAGAAAAACAATAGTAAGATCCAAGACATGAACCAAGAAATATGCTAAACTAAGAATACACTAAGCACTAATATTACAAAACAATGTGCCAAACAACAGCAGCACGAACATGAGTTTGTGTGAGCAGATGAGGACTAATGAACACAGCAACATGAAACAGATCAGCAGCATGAGATCAGCATCATGGATAGTCAGCAGCACATATCAACAATCAAGTGACATCACATTGACTTTTTCACAGTAATTCTCACAGTAATTTTCACAGTGATAATCCTGACTAGAGATTCATGAGTGTAACAGCTTCAGGGTAGAAGCTGTTCCTCAGCCTGGTGTAAGGTAACCAGATTTCTGAAGTGAAATCTGGGGACATTTCCAGCTCGGAGACCAAAAAGAATGAAATTTTATCAAGATGAAATTAAAAACGAGGACAGTTACAGTTTCATTTATTTTTACATATTTATTCATGTTTAAACAATAAAAATCAAATATAACAGCAGGAATGTGTCTCTCCACACTGTTAACATTTCCGAAGAGTAATAAAATTAATAAAGTAATAGTAGAAGTAATAGAGTACTAAAACTGGGGGGAGGGTCAAGGATATATACTAGTAAATGAGCGTGCATACCTTGTGAGTGAATGAGAACATGTATGTACTTACATAGGTGTGTATAAGTACACAGTGTATGGTTATGTATCTGATGTGTATTTATATTGTGTGTATGTGTGAGGTGAGTGAAGGTCAGGTAGTCCACTGACATGAGCTCATCTCTGGTTCTGCAAGGCCTCCTCTGTCTGAAGAAATGGTGGCCACCAAGGTCTGGAAAAGAAGAAGAGCAGAAAAGGTTACGCACCAAACTGAAAGAGCACAGATAATAGTAAAGAGAAATACTTAAAACATAAGAAATAAGACAGAATTTAGTAATATGATTATATACCTATTATTTTATTTTTATTTGTTCTTCCACTTATTTCATCATCACTCAAACAACTGCCTCTTCACACGGCTGTGGTTAAAGAAGTACAGTGAACCTGACACTCAGCTCAGAGGAAGAACTTCTATCCTCTCAACTTGAACCAGCCGTAACATCTCACCGAGTATACAGACACTCTGTCATCTTTCAATAGATTACCAATCAAACCACTTCATCAGTTCATCTGTTGAACGTTAATTGTAAATATTTGACATAAAATGAGACAGATACATTTGAACAAGAGCAACAATCTGAAGAGCCGACCAGGACGTAGAAATGGAAACTCTGCTGGTAATTTCTCAGTAAAATGACACTTCGTCTTTTTTGAAAGAGCATCTTGTCATTCAGTCTCATCTTTCTTCTTTCCTTTCCTCCTCTTTCTTTGCAACACTCATCAGCTCTTTTCCTTCTTTTGCTTTATTCTTCTTTCTATCAGTCTTTGTATTTTTCTTCTCTCTTTAACTCTTCTTTCTATTAGTCTATTTCCCTCCTCTCCTCTTCTGTAAGTCTTCCACTTCTCTAACACAGAGACATAATATAATCATAATCCCCTACAAAAATATTAGATACTGAAAATGTACTATTTAACAAAGAAAACAAGGTTTTTGTTTCAGCTACTCTAGAAGTTTGTAAGTTTTAGATGAGAAACTGGGGTTATCCTAGTATAATCTTATAAATATTAACATTATTTTTAATTATTTAGAGCTCATCATAGCACAGAAACAGCACTGGTGAAAGTTACTAATGATATTCTCATGGCCTCAGACAATGGACAAGTGTATACACTGGTCCTGTTGGACCTCAGTGCTGCATTTCATACAGTTGATCATAATATTTTATTACTCACCTAAGCCTAAAAGTCTATGATCACAAATCAATTAAGTTTATTTATACAGTTCAGTTTATTCATGTATCTCCAAGTCACAACAGAAGTCATCTGAACAGAAACATTTATATATATAAAAGTAAGTTAACACTATTTATCCAAGGAGCCAGCAGATTGATTTGAGTTTTAATATATTAGGAAAACTCATAACTAGCTCTGAAAATATAAACTAAAGTCACCAATCAATTCTAAAACATCTTACTTTGGATGAACCCTTGGCGCGTGCACCCTCGTGAAATATTCAACGCGTCAATTCTAAACCAGTTTGAGCCTTGAAGACAGTTCATCATCCTGTTATGATTTCTCCCTCTATGTCACTCGAGCTGCAGTTACTCCTCTTCTTGCCTTTTGTTGACGTTTGTTAATAAAAGCTTGATTTGGGTCCTTGTGTTTATCTTCATCTCAGGCCTATTAATGTATTTATTTTACCTGGACACAGCTGACAACACTGGGAACATTTCCTACTACGAACAAAACTTTTATCACGGCAAGGATCAGCCCAGTTCAAACAAAATAAATCAGTTCATACATATCATCACAGGAGAACTCCCAATCTGTGTTTTTTTTTTTTTGTGTGTTTGTTTTTTTCTCCCAGTTGGTGTTGACAAACTCGTGCTGCGCTCCTTCTTCTTCTGTTTTAAAGGCGGTGTGCATGACTCTTCTTCTGCCTGTAACGTCAGCGCTGCAGCGCCGGTGCAACCAGCTGCTACAATAACAGCAGTTGTTGTGCGCAACTGCACTGTAATAACAGTCTACATGCAACTTTTTTCCTCATTCATTAAACGCTCAAATCAGGGACATTTTTGGGGACAGCTTTAGCCAGGGACAGGTAGTTCGAAACGGGGACTGTCCCCGAAAATTGGGGACGTCTGGTCACCCTAGCCTAGTGGTTGTACACTTAATGCTCCTTAAACTTCTGCCTCAGGGGAGCGGGACAAAAAGTGTGTGTGCTGGGTGAGTGGGGTCCTTCATGATGCAGGTGGCCTTCTTCCTACATCTGGAGGTGTAGATGTTAGTGATGATGGGGAGGCTGACACCAACAGACTTCTGTGCAGCCTTCAGCACTCTCTGCACAGCTTTTCTTTCTGCAGCTGTGCAGACTCCATACCACATGTTGATGCTGGAACACAGGATGCTCTCCACTGCACACCTGTAGAAGGAGGTGAGGACTGAGCTTCCCAGTCCAGCTCGCCTCAGCCACCTGAGGAAATAGTTTCGGATGTGCTTTCTTGATCAGGCTGGTAGTGCTGTTTCCCCAGCTGAGGTTGTCATTCAGGTGCACAGCCAAGTACTTGTAGCTGGAGACCACTTCCACCACAGATCCTCCTGGTAGGTGTGCTTATTCTGTCTGAAGTCCACAACATCTCCTCCATCTTCTTCACATTGATGTGAAAGTTGGTTCTTCCTGCACCAGCTCTCCAGATGTTCCACTGCCTGTAGCTGGACTCATCATTGTTTTTGATGCATCCAACCACCGCCGTATCTTTTGCAAACTTTACAATATGACAGCCTGGATGGGTCAGTGCACAGTCATACGTTAGCAGAGTGAACAGGAGGGTCCTCAACACATAGCCCTGGGGGGGAGCCAGTGCTGACAGTTATGGTGGAGGAGGAGAAATCGTGTATCCTCACTGACTGTGGTCTGTTGGTTAAGAAGTCTAGGACCCAGTTGCATAGAGAGGGACTTAGTCCTAGTGTTATTAGTTTGTCCTTCAGGGTCTGGGGAATCATGGTGTTGAAGGAAGATGTGAAGTCCACAAAGAGCATATGGACATAGGAGTCCTTCTCCAGGTGGGTGAGAGCAGTGTGGACCACAGAGGAGATGACATCTTCTGTTGATCAATTCTTGCGGTATCCGTACTGATGAGGGTCCTCGATGATGTTGATGTTAGCTTTGATGTGGGTCATAACCAGTTTTTCGAAGCATTTAGTGACTATCGGGGTAAAGGCTACCGGCCGATAATCATTCAGTCCAGCCACTGTAGAGCTCTTGGGAACTGGGGTAATGGTGGCAATCTTGAGGCAGGTGGGAACTGTTGACAGGGTTAGGGAGGAGTTAAATATGTCAGCCAGCATCTTGCAAAACTGATTGGCACGGTATCCTGATGCATGCTCAATAATCCAGGTAGAAAAATCCAAAAAAGTTCAAAAGTTCTGATTGGCACGGTCTTTCAGCATCTTCCCTGGGATGTTGTCCGGGCCAGTTGCCTTGTGAGGATTAATCCTCCTGAAAGTACTCCTTACTTCTGCTGAGGTCACACTGAGGAACTCTTCTTCCTGTGATAAAGTTTGTCTGGTGCTGGGTGGTATGTTTTGGTCCTCACAGCATGCATAAAATCTGTTGAGAGGATCTGGCAATGATGGATCCTTAGGGCACTGCGCACTTCTGCCTTTATAATCTGTTATGCACTTAATGCCCTTCCACATGTTCTATGTGTCTTGTGAGGAGAAGTGTCCCTGGATCTTCTGTGCTGCTTTGGCCCTTTTAATAGCAGCACCCAGCTCTAACCTCGTCTTCCCCAGCTCCTGTGAATTGCCAGACCTGAAGGCAGTGTCCCTGGCTTCCAGCAGGGTGCGAACATCTGCATTCAGCCAGGGCTTTTGGTTTGGATAGCTCTTTACATTCCTGGCGATTTTGAATCGCTTCAAAAGGCCCATAAATCGATTTTAAAATGTGTTTAAGTTTTATTTTTTTCCGCTCCTACTCTTGAGCTTACTACATATTGCATTACGTGTCCACTCAGCCGCCGTTGATATTGGCCGTGTAGGCCACCGTACAGCAAACTAGTTAGCCAGCTCCCTCTATCTGAATGGAGTCTGCTAGCATGGAGGAGGGGGACAGTGCGATTCAACTTGCTCGTTCTGCGCGGAGTCCTTGTCGCATCCACTCCAAATATTGTCGCTACTCATCGGGGCTGCGCACTGAAAAACACCTCCTCTCCTCCTCCTCTCAGACCCTTGAAACAGAAACGATCATTTATTCAACAGAATAAATAAATTCCCTGTGGACAGTGCACGTTACGCACAGAAACGTCTCCAGACAGCTGTAGCGCGCGCACAACATCAGCAGGTGTCTGAACTGCTGCACATTTCAGACATGACAAATAAAAGCTTACTGTAAAAAAAAAAAAAAAAATACAAAGAGAGAAATGTTTGATGTGTTATTCACATTGTCACGTTTCAAAACAACGGCGCTAATTTGTCAAAATAACAGCGACCAAAATGTCAAAAAGACAGTCCAATTTACTTAATAAAAAATGGATGAATGGATGTATGGATGATGTTCTTAGTTTGACAACAGAAAATTGAAGCCTTCAGGTGCTTCAAACTGCCACAAGACTGGAGCAGGAGTGGAGAATTCAGCTCAGAACCTTGAAGTGAGGGGAGGAGGAGGGGGTTTAGGACACCTGACAGAATCGGTGCTGCTCTAATTCACTTGCTGTTCTTTTCCAAAATAGGGATTTAATCAAGTGTTTACAAATGTAGGTAAATGTTGATGTATAACAACCCATTAAAATACACCAGAATGCAGGAAATGTCATCACCAGTCAGTTAACAAATTAAGCCCCGAAGTGGACCATGGTCGGAAATAACCATGGCCCCAAAATCACATTCTCTCACTAAGGGCATAATTCATTTATTAAGAAGGAAGTAGTCAATTCGGGAATACCCTTTGCTAAAATGTCTTGATGACATCAAGACTTGGATGGCTGCGAACTTCTTGAGTTTTAATGATCAGAAGACAGAGGTCATTGTGTTTAACCCAAGCTCTACCACTGTCACTGATCCTGTAAACCTGCACTCCCTTCAGCCTCATCTAAAGCAGTCGGTTACCAATCTTGGGGTAGTGTTAGACTCGGACGTTAAGTTTAATACCATACCATACCATACCAATTTATTTATATAGCACTTAAAACAGCAACAAGGCCAACCAAAGTGCTGTACAAAAGAACCAAACATGCACAGCAGACAGTAAAACATAAAATAGAAATACAGATACAAATAGCAGCAGAAGCTAACTAAAATGGCCAACAGAGTAGAGAACAGACCGGACCAAAACAAATCACACCGTGTTAAAGGCAAGCGAATAGAAGTGGGTCTTCAAGCGAGACTTAAAGACTGAGAGTGTGGGAGCCTGCCGGACACTCAGTGGCAACTCATTCCACAATCGTGGACCTGCAACAGAGAAAGCCCTGTCACCTCTGAGCTTACGACGGGTTTCTGGGACTGAGAGAAGCATCTGGTCTGCTGACCTCAGAGAGCGCGGTGGGACATATGGCTGCAGAAGATCAGTGAGATAGGATGGGGTGGAACTGTTCAGTGATTTAAAAACATACATGAGAATTTTGAAATGGATCCGAAGGTGAATGGGTAGCCAGTGCAGGGAGGCCAAAACTGGCGTGATGTGCTCTCTATAGCCTGTACCAGTTAAAAATCGGGCTGCAGCATTTTGGACCAGTTGTAGACGAGCAATGGAGGACTGACTGATTCCAAACAGAAGTGAATTGCAGTAATCAAGCCTAGATGTTATGAAGGCGTGGATCACTGTCTCGAGGTTCTTTTTGGAGAGTATAGGCTTCAGCTTAGACAGCCGTCTCAGCTGAAAAAAACAGGATTTGACCATCATGTTTACGTGACTGTTGAGTTTTAAGGACGGGTCCATTATCACCCCCAGATTAGTCACCTTTTGTTTCTCTAGCGGGGCTAGAGAGAAAAGGTCAATGTCATGGTTCATGAGTGAGCCACTGGGATGGAACAGCATGACTTCAGACTTCTTCTCATTGAAGCTTAAGAAGTTTAAAGCCATCCAGTCCCGGATGTCAGCCAGGCAGTCAAGAAAAGGCTGAATAGAGCGTGTGCCTCTGTGCCTCAGGGGGAAGTAAATTTGGCAATCATCGGCATAGAAATGAAAGGGTATGTCGTGTTTGCGGAAGATAGCACCTAGTGGCAGCAGGTATAAAGAAAAGAGAAGGGGACCGAGGATGGACCCCTGCGGTACCCCCCACTGGAGTGCGGTCGATGCCGAACTAAAATCTTTGATATTGACACAGAAGGTTCTGTCAGAGAGGTAGGACCCAAACCATTTAAGGGCTGACCCTGTGATGCCCACCCACTGCTCCAGTCTAGAAATGAGGATATTGTGGTCGATGGTGTCAAAAGCAGATGTAAGGTCCAATAGGACCTTACATCTGCTTTTGACACCATCGACCTTACATCACCTTTAATAAACAGATCAACTCTGTTCTACTAAAAAGCTTTTTTCGTCTAAGGCAGATAGCAAAGCTTAAATACGTTCTGTCCAGATCCGACCTTGAAAAACTAGTCCATGCATTTATTACAACCCGGCTGGACTACTGTAACTCACTTTATGTTGGGGTTAGTCAGGCTTCACTCTCACGTCTCCAGCTCGTACAAAATGCTGCAGCTCTGCTACTAACAGGAACTCACAAGTTTGAGCACATTACTCCGGTTCTGTCCTCCCTTCACTGGCTTCCTGTACGTGTCAGAGTTAATTGTAAAATTCTCCTGCTGACATTCAAGTGCATTAACGGCCTCGCACCATCATACCTCTCTGACCTTCTTCATCCTTATGCTCCTCGGGCTTTGAGATCATCAGACCAGCTACTTTTGGCCGTACCAAAAACCAGCTGAAGCTCAGAGGAGGTCGAGCATTTTCAGTCGTGGGCCCTAAACTTTGGAACAATCTGCCCATCAACATTGGACAGGCCACCTCAGTCTCTACTTTTAAATCTCTCCTAAAAACTCATCTATACTCATTGACATTTAACACAGGGTGATTGGATTTAGATCTAGTTTTTCATTGATGCTGGTTCTGTTTATGCTTTTGTTATTATTCCTATTTAACACAAGGTCATCAGATCTGATTTAGTATTTCATTGTTTCTGACTGAGTTTATGCTTTTTGTTATTATTTCCTTGACTTTTGACACAACGTGATCTGATTTAGTATTTCATTGTTTCTAATTGTTTTCGGTTTTATATTTTTATTCCATGTGCTGTAAATATATCTTGCTACTTTTTATTTGATGATGTGATATTTTTGTTAAGCACTTTGGTAACAGTTTATGTTTTAAATGTGCTCTATAAATAAATATGACTTGTCTTGACTTGATGTCGACCAGATTGCATGATCTTGTCTAGTTACAAAAAACAAAGTGAAGTTTTTGAGCTGCATGCATTCATCTGGGACCGATGCAAGATAAAAGAATAAAAATAAATTCATTGAAAAATAATTATGTATTAGATTCTTGAACATGCATGATATCTTGCTCTACAAAATTGATTGGCAGCTGCTGCTTATGTCTCCATAACTCCTTTCATGCATGTGATGCTGATAAGACATTTTCATCAGTGATCAGTGTTTAAACAGTCTGCGTTCACCAATATTTTCACTGCTCAGAACTTCAGTGTGTTTATGTTGGGAGATGACTCCAATGACTCCTACTCTGAGCCATTAGCCTCTTACTCTAAACATTGAGAAGGCTGCTTATATGGTGGCAACCATCTTGGACTTTGACGTGGCAAGAAACTTTTCGAATGGAACCTTTCGTAGGCCTAGATGTAGTTGCATACCAAGATTAAACTTGAAGTTTGTACCTAAATTAGTTTTCAAGTTAACATGCTCCAGAGGGTAGGTAGGTATTTCCAAGTCCCCTCTCTTCGCTCTTTGACAGAGGGACCAATTCTGGAGATGCTTCACAGAGGTTAACATGACTCTACCTAAACTTTTTCAGATGTATTGCTGCCATCAGATTCAAAATATATTCTCTTTTCAACAAAAATTAACTATTAATATTGTTAAAAAATTGATAAGTTTGCCATCTTCCATTGTGAATTTAAAAAAAGGGTTTGATATTTACTAACCATTGTATTCTGTTTGTATTAACTATTTATACAACCCTTCACATTTTATTGGAATTGTGGTTGCACTTTTGGTTCAAGTTGGCGTCACACTATAATTGTTTTAGCCTCAGTTACAGTTGGGGCTCACCAAATAGCCTCTACTGTTGATTCCAGTTGGTGTCACTTGATAATTTATTTAGCATCACAATCAGCATTGAAATGTTCATTTGATTACACATTTTGTAACTGCAGTGTCTGTCAAGTTTCATTCATGTCTCCTATAATCTCACCTTTATTACAGCAGTAAGGCGTCTGGGGACCTCCCTACAACTCCAACCACTACTGCCGTCCCCCATCGAGTCACCTCTTTCCCTCCTCCCCCAGTCACCACGAACAGTGTTCGGAACAAAAGCCGGGAGCTGCTGGTGGCTGCTTTGCAGACTGGGGGTAAGAAAATCTGAAATGTCAGTTTAAACTATTTTCACACTTGGAATAATTTAAAATGACTAAGTTTAGATAAATTGTTGTAGAGTTTAAAAGACCAGTAGGATTTGGATACAGATTGTGATGCTTTGGACCCAATCTTACCTTGCAAGGCTCGCTTGCTGACTATGTGCCATACATGTGTCAAGACACATTGGTGGTTATGACCTCACAATGATGAGGATCTTTTTGTCCCCCTAATACTGTCTGTCCATCCGTCTGTGCATGTTTTGAACATGACTTGATAAAGTGAGGTACCAACTTCCATTTTGGTGTGTGGCTGGCTACATGTAGGCAAAACCAGGCTCCTTTTAAAAATTGGTTTGCATTGTCAAAATCCAAAGTAGCTGTCACCATATATGTAAGTCCTATAAGGGTCAGTCAGGTCATCTGGACGGTTTCTTTTTTGTGGAAAGATGTTTCACCCTCTATCCAGAGGACTTCATCAGTCTGAGGAGTCCCAAGTAAACTGTTTTCCCCACTAAGCAGTACACTCCTTTAGTGGACCAGCCAGTTTGACTGACCATTGGATTTTGTCCGCTACGCTAGTGGGTGTGCAACACACGTGACTCCATCCCGTCACCCCCTCTGTGTGTGTGTGTGTGTGTGTGGGGGGGGGGGGGGGGTTGTGTGCATGTGTGTGTTTATATGTATGCGTGTGTATTTATGTGTGTGTGAGAATGAATATTTATTAGGGGTGGGTGATATGGCTCAAATATAATATTGTGATACTTCAGAGCATTCTGATGATAACAATAAATTTTGTGATATAACAAAAAAGAAAAACAGAAATCATTTGGTATTCAGTGTCAAAGTATAAAAATGATCCTTCTGTTATTTAGATTGAAAAAGTCTGCAAAAAATCTAGATCAACAAGATCTACCACAAAAACTAAAATGCAAAATAACTGAATAAAATGAAGCTTAAGATCTGTTGATCATAAATGTAACGTACAACAAAATATATGTTGCCTTTAAATGGGCTATAACTTCCAAAACTTGAAACAAGGTGTCTTCGTCTGACCCTGAAGCTTGTGGTGTTTCAGCTTCCTCTGTTCCTGCAGGAATGATTCATTTCTCTGATGCTCTGTCTCTGATCACCTGGGCATCAGTTGTTGTATGCTCATTCTCTCCCATCTTACTTGCTGAAGATTGTAACCTCTTGAAAATGGTCACATGTGTCATGTTGGCCTCTCTCACCATTCTTCTTGGTGGATTCACCCATGTCTGTATTCCTTTCATTTTTTGATGATGGACTAACCAGAACTCCTGGGGATATTGGAAATCTTGGAAATCTTTTTGTACTTTTCAATAACCTGATAATTATGAGTTGAATTAGGACAATTACTTTTAAAGGGGACAGATATTTATACAATCATTTATTTTACATAACATATTTTTATTTAATTGACATTACTTAGAAGAAATTTGATTTGATTATATTGACCATGACTGATATATGACAGCAGTAAATGCATCAAACATTCAAGGGGGTGAATACTTTTTATTGGCACTGTGCATGCAGGAGTAAATCTGTAATATCTACTAATGTTTGCATTATTTTTTTTTTAATCCTTGACCAAGGTACAGTTTTTCTGTGGAGCTCTTGTGTTCTTAAGTCTTCCTTTATATCAAACCTTGTTCACCATTTAGTAATGTATTCTGCTTTATGAAATGTTAAACTGTATGCACTTTGATTTGACCTCAAATGAAAAAAGAGTTTGTTTTAGATGACTACAGGGCCATTGGCGTGGACTGTGAGCAGCTTGCAGTACAAATTGAAGATCATATCCTTTTGAATGAGCATATCTGAGTGAATTGTTTTTGCTATTGTTCTTTTTAAAGGTCCATGGAGAAATCCAAGTCTGTTATCTAGCTAAACTTGAGGTAAACTCAAGTCTACTAAATAGAAGTTTTACATTTAGCTATAACTTTGAAATGTATTAGTTCCTAAATATAGAAATATTGTAACTGGGCAAGGCAGCACGGTGGCGCAACTGGTAGAGCTGCTGCCTCTCAGCGTGCAGGTCCCTGGTTCAAACCCCGGTCCAGGGGCCTTTCTGGGTGGAGTTTGCATGTTCTCTCCGTGCATGCGTGGGTTTTCTCCGGGTGCTCCGGTTTCCTCCCACAGACCAAAAAACATGCATGTTAGGCTGATTGGTAACTCTAAATTGTCCCTAGGTGTGAATGAGAGAGTGAATGGTTGTTTGTCTCGTTTGTCTCTGTGGCCCTGTGATGGACTTGCGACCTGTCCAGGGTGTACCCCGCCCCTCCCACAGTGATTGCTGGACATGGGCACCAGCGACCCCCGTGACCCAAAATGGAATAAGCAGGTAAAGATAATGGATGGATGGATGGATGTAACTGGGCATAAAAAATATGAATCAGCCTAGTTGAGAATTCAAACTTAATGCATTAAAATTAAAGACTGTGATAAAATTTGCATATTTTTTGTAATATTTCAAACGCCAAGAAAATGTCTTTTTGTAGCACGAAAGTTCATGCTCGGTAATCCAGGTAAAAGTCCAACAATGTTCAGTCAGGTCATCTGAACAGTTTCTTTTTTTGCCGAGACATTTTGTCCTTCATCCTAAGGACTTGTTCGATTTGAGGAGCCACCAAACAAATCTGATTCCCACAAATGGCATACTCAATAGTGAAAAGAACAGCTGTCTTTCTGTAGCTTTTTGTGTAAAAAAAAAAAAAATGTTGTTTTGAACATGTGCACTGAAGTCATGTTGCACACCTGAGTTGATGTGGACAGCTTCAGGTGAATTTCAGTGTGACTGTATTTTTGTTTGCCTTCTCATGTGAGGAAAGTTCTTGCTTCTTTTTTTTTCCCAGAGAACATTATCACAACAGAGTCCTTAAAACACTAATAACACTGACAACCACTTTTTGTCCCTCGTGACAGAGCGAATAGATAGAATTGGAAAGACCATTTGTCTATCTACCCCTGTTGTGAGCATAACAACTTGAAAAATTAGGGAATATACCAACTTCCATTTTGGCATGTAGCTGCAACTAGGTAAACAAAAAAGTCACTATCGAAAGGGGTTTCCATAACAAAATCCAAGATGGACACCTAAATATATTTACACCGGCCATCCCAAATCAAGTCATTTCAGTTTATTTATATAGCGCCAAGTCACAACAAGTCATCTCCGGGCACTAGGGGTGTAACGGTACGCTAAAATCACATTTTGGTTCAGTTAATTTTCTGTACAAAAAAAGGCCAAAATGAAGACATGTTTATTTTGAAAATATGCCAAGTAAGCGAGTTCAGTTATTATAGACTTCTTAGCTGGAGGTGATCTGGTGGATGAAGAAGACTCATCTGCCATCATCCTCAGACTGCAAACAACACAGAGATAAAAAAAAAAAAATGCGTTAATAAGATTATAATTTTAAATGAAAAAAGTTAATTAGATCATAATAATACAATAACAATACCTCTTCTTGCACGGACATCATAGGAGGTGGTTGAATATCCTCTCTCGCTCATCATTGATGTTCCAGGGCTTTAAATCTAGGGACGGGCTTGTTGATAAGATCAGTTTTAGCTTTTTCATAAAGTGCTGCTACAACTTTTTGGCTGAAGTGTTGACGTGATGGGATGTCGTAGGCAGGGGGGCTCAAGAACTTTAATCATATACTTAAAGCCGATGCATAAACAACAGAATACGTAGATCCATCCATCCAAACATTTTCTTTCACTTACTCCAAAGTCGGGTCGCGGGGGCAGCAGCTTGGGCAGGGAGGCCCAGACATCTCTTTCCACAGCCACCTCTTCCAGCTCTTCTGGGAGAACTCCAAGGCGTTCCCAGGCCAACCGAGAAACATAGTCTCTCCAGCGTGTCCTGGGTCTTCCCCGGGGTCTCCTCCCAGTTGGACATGCCCGAAGCACCTCTCTAGGGAGGCGCCCAGGGGGCATCCTTACCAGATGCCCCAACCACCTCAACTGCCTCCTCTCGACATGGAGGAGTAGCGGTTCTACTCCGAGTCTCTCCTGAACAACTGAACTTCTCACCCTATCTCTAAGGGAGAGTCCAACTACCCTGTTGAGAAAACTCATGTCAACCGCCTGTATCCACGATCTCATTCTCTCGGTCACTACCCAGAGCTCGTGACCGTAGGTGAGGGTAGGAACATAGACCGACCGGTAAATAGAGAGCTTTGCTTTACAGCTCAGCTCTCTCTTCACCACAACGGGCCGGTACAGAGTCCGCAATACTTCAGATGCTGCACCAATCCATCTGTCAATCTCATGCTCCATTCTTCCCTCACTCGTGAACAAAACCCAGAGATACTTGAACTCCTCTACTTGAGGCAGAACCTCACCCTCGATTTGGAGAGAGCAATCCACCCTTTTCTGGTTACCTTTAAAATCTCCTACAGCTTGTGTTATTTCTTTGGACTGATCTGAATTACCTGATAAAGGTTGTTTAAATACTGCTGTTATCGGTCTTTGCACCAAGCTACGTTCACATTCGGATGATGTCGTTTCAAGTGCGTTAACAAGTTAGACGTGTCGCCTGCGGCAGATCCAATCTCCGTGAAACAACGTCGACACAGCTTTGGATTTGTTCACGTCTTTTAACAAGAAAGCCATAATGTTCCCAAACAGGAGACCGCAATGCGATGGCTTGTTCGTTGCCTGCTAAGCTGCTAATGCTACGCGTGCTGCAAGATAATAGTGCCGTGCTGAAACACGCTTAGGAAATTTAGTTCTGCGGCACATAATCTCTTGTTAATAAAATTTAATGAGTGAAAAAATAACAAACGGTATGCACGTGGTCCGAACCGAACACTGAACAGAAACATTTATATATGAAAATAATAATTGAACACTATTTATCTGAGGAGCAGACTGCTTTGAGTTTAACTCCATCACAGAACTCTCATCTTGAGCAAGCATGAAGGAGACAGTGGAAAGGAAAAACTCCCTCATGAGGAAGAAACCTTTAGCAGAACCAGGCTCAGGACAAGTAGCTGTAGATGAACAGATGCTGAGATATATTCATCAATTAAAACGGATTCTTCATTTTTCTGGACTGAATATAAACGTGCATTGAATTTAATGAAATGTGGACATGAGACGTTTATTATCTTTGACTCACCAAGCGAGTGGGTCATTTATTAACAGAATCAAGTTTAACACATCACACATTTACATCAATTTGGCAGAATATGAAAACAACAACACAATTAATCAGCTTTACAACCAGGAAAACCATACGGCCATGATTTTCCGTTGCTTCACCACAGACATTAATGAAAACATCTGGATTAATTTTCTAGCAGAAAGGAGAGTTTAAAGATGGAAAATTGAGATTTATCTTACAGAGAGATGTGTGAGGGAATTTGTCTGTTTTAACCAGAACGTGCACGCTCCTTCGGAAATCAGCTTGTCCCAACAGTACACTTTTGGTGAAGGTCGACTTTTACCTTTTCTGAAGATAGATCAGTTCCGGCGTGGAGTCTCACTTCCAACCACTGTTCAGCGTCTCAGTGAGAACAGCTAAATACCTCGAGAGTCGTGCGAGGTTATCCAAACAGAAGTTATAATTCCCAAAATCGTCTCTGGTTCAGCTTGATTGGTTTAACAGCATCCTGAATGCCCGCGTTCTGCATTCAGGAACTCCCAAACTCTCTGCATTCTGGATTCCAAAACTCCTGAACTCTACTGTTGAACTGGGAAGTGCCACATTTAAATGGGCTCTACTTCCGGTTCATTTTAGAGCTTTTGATTGGTCGATGGACCAGCACAGAGGTGTGGATTGTGATGTAAGGTGTTATGGAAAGTCAAGGATAGAGATTAAGATTGTTTAAGAACAGACAGAAAGATTGTTGGAGAAAACCAGTCTTAGTGGCGTCTCTACTCAGGTATCTTGCTGTAAAAGTTAAACATGACATTTCTTTTCAGTAAACTTTTTAGTTGACCGAAACCTGAACTCTAACACACTTACAAATTTGCTCCCTTCAAAGCAGACGATCAAAAATTGAATCATTACTCTGTAACGTACTCTAACTTGATTTCACTTTGAATTGAGGACTAAAAATCATTACTACTGTTTAAGTAAATAAAAATGAGTAGTTCACTTCAACATGTAAACATTGTTTGGACTACCACAATTTGATTATCAAACATTTGTAAAATAGTAATGATCATAGAGAATTGTCTTTTCCACTTGATTAATTCAAGAAAGAAAGTCTCAGGATGGGTCAAACTGTATTTCTGGATTCAAATCAATGAAATGACAGTTTCTGTCCATCTGGTCAGTTTTGACATCAGGCCTAGTCCACTACATAGCCATCTGCTTTGACTGACTGGGAGTGAGAGGAACAGATACACAATGGCAGGTCAAGAATCACATGTTGAGATAGAAATGGTATCAAATGAAAACTATTCAATTGTAATTTAAAAAAAAGGTTCAATTTAAAAACAACTGGACTTTATTTGTAACAGAAGATGTTTCGCTCCTCATTTGAGTAGATTTCTCAATTCAAAGAGTAGTGAGCATGGGGTTCAGGTTAAAAGAGAAAAAAACGTCTTAAAAGAGGAGGAGGCCTCAGATTTCAACTTTCAAAAATATATAATGCAGCTTTAAGACTGATTCCCAGCCAGTTTTCACGCCTGGTGAGAACAGAGGGGCCTCATCTGTGAATTAGATTAACAAAGACCTTAAGAAACCCCTACTGTTAAGGTGTGAGGTGTGATTTGTCAATCTACATATGTATGTGTATCTTATCTCAGCTTTATAACCTGAACTCCACACTCGCTGCT